CGGTGCCCGGAGGGACCCAGCTCGCCCCCGTGACGGTCCCTGAGGCAGTGACAGACCCAGCACGGGACCAGCAAGGACCCAGAGCACCCCTGGGGTCCCCCCCGAAGCACCAGGAGGGGGCCCGTCGCACCCCCAGGATCCCCCCTCCAAACCCCCGTAAGCCCCCACCGAGTGAGGCCCGTCTATGACTTTGACGATGTCCTTGACGTGGATGTTGTTCTGCTCCGAGTCGAGGGCGACGGCGAAGCGGTTGTCCTTCTTCCTGGTGACGGCCTGGTGCCGCACCGTCACCACCTTCCCATACATGTTCAGCACCTGCGGGGACGGCGAGAGGTTGGGAGGGGGGGTCAGCCAAAATCAGGGATCTCGGCAGGACAGGGGACATGGCTCCGGCATGGGGACGAGCGTGGAGACCTCAGCCCCGGGCAGGGGACACGGGGACGAGTGTGGAAACCCTGGCCCCGGGCGGGGGACACGGCTCCGGCATGGGGATGAGCGTGGAATCCCTGGCCCCAGGTGGGGGACACAGGGATGAGTGTGGAAACCCCGGTCCCGGGCGGGGGACACAGCTCCTCCGGGCGTCCCCGTGCAGCTGGGACTCACCTGGAAGGTCTCCCGCTCCAGACGGACGATGACGCCCACGGTTTGGGGGTCCAGCTGCACCAGCTCGCCCCACTCGTGCTGCCCCCCCACGTCCACGCCAGACGCCGTCTCCGAGCAGAGCTGCAGGTCCCGCGGCAGAACCTTGAGCTGGTGGCGAGGAGTGTGAGACGCAGCCATTTTCCCTCTTTTTTCCCCCCCCAAAAAAACCCAGCAAGGTTTGGGGGCCAAGCGGGACTTTTCACACCCCCCCAAATACCTCATGCATGGTGAGGTCGGAGAAGAGGATGACGAAGTTTTCCTCCACCCTCACGATCAGTCCCGTGTCACCCTCGAAACGCCCCGCGATCACCTTGACGTGGTCACCCATCTTGAAATACTTCCGCAGCTCCTGAGCCGGGAACTCCAGCATGTCCTGGTGGGGGGAGACAGGGAATGCTGTGGGCACGGGGAGAAAAGGGTGGCAGGGGGCCAGGGTGGCCTCAGGAGGCACCCGGTGTCGCTCCCCGGGGGCGCTCGGACCTTCAAATCCTCGTGTTTGGGCATGATGGTGATCTTGTTGCCGTCGACGCTGAGGATTTTGCCCTGCAGGTTGATCAGCTCGCCCTCGCACACCTCCACGTTGTCGCCGGGCTGGAAGTTGTGCTCTCGTTCCTTCCCTGGGACAGAGAGGACGGTGAGGGGCCGGCGCCGCGGCAGGGACGACGACACGGCGGTGGCACCCGCTTACCCGTGCTCTCTGTCACCACCTCCAGGTCGATGCCTTCGGGCTGGTCCTCGAACTTCTCCAGCTCCGACAGCGTGGGCTTCACGCCCTCCGTTATCTGCCAAGAGCAGAGCCGGTGGCCAAAACGCCCCGTGTCCCACCCCAAAACGCACCCGGATTGGCGGCACTGTCCCCACTGAGGAATCACTGGGCTCCCGACAGCCCTGGGTGTTAGGAAAGAGGCGGTTTGGGGGAAAACGGGTGGGTTTTGGTTCAAAGCCCGGCATGGCAGCGCTCACCACGGCCGACATGGCGAAGCTCTTGAAGAGGAATCCCTTGCGGCTGTAGCGGTTGCCTTCGAAGATGAGAAAGTCCCCGTCGGACGCCACGTCGCCTCCAAGGGACCTGGGACAAAACCCAAATCACCCCCTCGGTGGGTGAGAGCACCCCCGACCCCCTCAGGGATGAAATCCCTCCCTCCACGAGGGCCGATCCCCCGGGGGAGCTTCCTGACGCCCGCCCCCGGCGCGGTGCTGGTTGCCTACCGGATCTTCTCGGCGTCGAAAAGCCGCTGGGGGGGTCGCTTGAACTTCTTCCTCTTGGCGAACCAGTCTTTCTGCAGGGCGGGGTGGGGAGCCACGGGG